TGGGCTACTATTTCAAAAGTTACAGCCCTTTGAATTTTCTTTCGAAATTGGTTTCTAGCCCATAACTTTTGATTGAGAAGTCTGATCGAAAAAGTACGAATTGTTTTGGATTCTACGCACCAAAATTAATAAGAAAGTGTTCTCCCGAGAAATTTTGGTGTAGTCGATTTTTGGTAAAAAAAAGGAAGGGTTTACACTGCCTTTTTTTGAGGCCCAAAAAAAATTGTCTCAGATCGACCCGGGAAAAAATTTCCTTATAGAATGTGGCCTGTAGAATCGATAATTTCAAACAGTTCCAAGATTGGGCTACTATTTCAAAAGTTACAGCCCTTTGAATTTTCTTTCGAAATTGGTTTCTAGCCCATCACTTTTGATTGAGAAGTCTGATCGAAAAAGTACGAATTGTTTTGGATTCTACGCACCAAAATTAATAAGAAAAAGTGTTTTCCCGAGAAATTTTGGTGTAGTCGATTTTTGGTAAAAAGGAAGGTTATACACTGCCTTTTTTTGAGGCCCGAAAAAAAAATTGTCTCAGATCGACCCGGAAAAAAAAATTCTTATAGAATGTGGCCTGTAGAATCCATAATTTCAAACAGTTCCAAGATTGGGCTACTAGTTCAAAAGTTACAGCCCTTTGAATTTTCTTTCGAAATTTGTTTCTAGTCTATAACTTTTGATTGAGAAGTCTGATCGAAAAAGTACGAATTGTTTTGGATTCTACGCACCAAAATTAATAAGAAAAAGTGTTTTCCCGAGAAATTTTTGTGTAGTCGATTTTTGGTAAAAAAGGAAGGTTATACACTGCCTTTTTTTGAGCCCCGAAAAAAAAATTGTCTCAGATCGACCCGGAAAAAAAATTTTCGTATAGAATGTGGCCTGTAGAATCCATAATTTCAAACAGTTCCAAGATTGGGCTACTAGTTCAAAAGTTACAGCCCTTTTAAGTTTTCTTTCGAAATTGGTTTCTAGCCCATAACTTTGATTGAGAAGTCTGATCGAAAAAGTACGAATTGTTTTGGATTCTACGCACCAAAATTAATAAGAAAGTGTTCTCCCGAGAATTATCGCGATTTAGTGAAATTGTACAACTATAGTGCTCTTAGTGATCGTAGGGATAGCTGCCTCTTGTTTATATTTAAATTATTAAATAATCAAATTGATTCGAGTTATTTACTTTCTTTAATAGGTTTCAACGTCCCGCCTTCAAAGGAACCCACGTTCTAAATGTCAACACCCTATCTTACGCAGTTTCGACTGTAATCCCATATCTTTCCATTTCCCGTTCCCGTGGGTATTGCGGGAAGTGTTTTACATCAGAAACCTTACTGGGCATACATCCAGACAATCATTCATTTGTATTGATATAGAAATAGTAGGTCCTGTAGACCTGTTTACCATCCTACATCATTAGTTTGGCGAAATGTAACAATGATAAATAATACAGTGGTATTTATTAAGAAGTAGGCATAGGGATTCACATACGTATATTGTTTTTCCCTATGTCTACTTTTAAATGACAAAATCCCTTCTGAAAGGTGCCTAATTTTATGCAAGCAAACTAAGTTCTTAAAACAAATTAATATTAGTTAATTTGAATATTGTCGTTCTGATAAAGATAAAGATCTAGTAGCGACATAGGCGTAAGGACGGACAGACGGCCACAATACTGCACTTTTAAAATGTTTGTGGTATCCCTTTTCTTTATAACTTTAATGGTTTATTATTTGTTCATTTTCGTAATCACTTCTAGTAAACGACAAATAATGTTTTTGAATCGCACAGTGAAAAGAGGGGGATTAAGAATTAGGCACGATTTTCGACGAAGAATTGTGGACCAGTAATGTTTCTAAACTTAGTGTTCGTCAGTAGGCATTATGAAAATGCAACTCCCTAGAGTTCTGAAAAGGAAAATAACCACTTGGTAACATTCTGAAATGCAGTCTTTGTCACCTTTGCAATCTGATACTGGAATATTTCCAAATTGATTAGGTACCTAATCAAAACCGCTATCGTAGGAAGTGAATTTGATACTGGTAGGTATAAATGACCATCAAAAGTTCTTTCAAAATTATTTCCACTTAGCTCTCGCCAAGATGAAAACATTCGTTGCAGCGGTCCTCCTCCTTCAAGTCTTCTTCGGACAGGTCTGTAGAGCTTTTAAGCTGCGCATACGATAACTGCTGTAATTTCGCAGGGAAGATCTGACGTGGTCGAAAATCATAGGGATTTTGCGATGGCGCAAATTGCACGCTGCATTGAGGAAACGGACGTTAACCTGAACGAGCTCGTAAAGGCGATTCAAGATAGCAATACGGAACACAGTGCCGTCGAAGAGTTCACCACCTGCTTTGAGGACGCAATGAAACCGGTAGAAAGCGACTTCGAACAATTCTGCAGGGAAACTAACCAAAATGGTAACTTGGCACAGCTGATTCTATGCTACAGTAATATTCTGATTGACTACCTTAAGGATTTCATTGCGTAAATTAGTAATGTACTCGTCTGGAGTGCTTTGGTTTAATTGACTGAGTCTATAATATAAACTTTTACTTCCCTTTGTGTTTATTTAAACAAAATAGAGTCGTAGGAAATGAACAAGTTCAAATTAATTCAAAGTTCGTAGATTGGCAGAATTAATAATATCCTAAAATTATGCATATAACGGTCACAATTATACAAAATCTTAAATAACCCGAAAACCATAACAGATAGGTATAGGGAATATCATAATTGATCGATGTAGAATTTTTTTCGACATTAGAAAGTGCAAAAAATAAAGCAAGCTTGATTTGAAAAAATCCACTTTTTAAGGTTCGAAGATATTAAACTTGACCATTAATCTTAAAACACTCTGTAGAAGGGCGATCAACATGTAAACCATTCGCATGTAGCATCACGTCAGTATTGTTGATTTTGGGAGACTCTTTGAAATTGAAGTCGACAGGGTTGTAGGTACAGGGCGCTAAAGAAAGGTCAAAAATTGTCAAAAATCTTGAATAACTTTTGATGCCAGGTATAGGGAAATCTGGTATCAAACGTACGTAGATTTTCATGTAGATTTCGAAAATGCAATAAAATATAGAGTGTTATATTTCAAATAATAGAGTTGCCATCCACATCCGTTAAAACCGGAAGTGAAACGATCATGATCATATTTTCTTCCGATAGATCACGAAAAACTATGTTGGTGTGCAAATTTTCATATTTAAATTATGAATGGAAGTCTAAATACTTATAGGTAACGGTATACGTGAAACAGCCTGTATATTAATCGGAAGAAAGTAAGTAAGCGAAGGAGCCAGAAGTCTTCGTGAACATGGTTTGCTGTCTTAACACAGTTTCCTTACAAAATATGAGCAAAAATTTTTCTTCTCATTCTTCTCATAATTAAGTCGTGCCGCAATCACATATTTGTAAATTCCCAAATTGATTACCGACCTAACCAAAACCGCTATCAGATAATGGCCCGTATAAATAACCAACAAAATAGATTCAATTTAGGTAGTCAAAATCTTCTTTAAATTTTCTCTGAAACTAATCTTTCTAATATTCTCAAAACGGTCATAGGCATAATTTGGCAGGGAGCTAGTAGGGGCATTACAGTAATATTCTGGTTATGCGTAACTGAAGATTGAAAAATTTGCTGTTAGCACAGATATCACCCGCACAGCTGCGAATGCGCGATTCTGCCCTTTTACGTCTAAAAATATGTGTCCCAAATTTGGTACCAATCGGTTCATTTGTTTAGCCCACAATGAGAGAACAGACAGACAGACCGATAGAGTAACAGACGGACCCACATGATTGAGATTTTGTTTGAGTCGGATTCCTGGTGCGGAGTCATTTTTTATGCCAATGCGGTATAATTGCGGTTGGTAAAAACGATTCCTTTAAAAAACAGAGAAAAGTAATCAGTAAAATCACCTCCTCATTTGACTTCACCACATTTGTTCATTTTAAGGTAACAATAACATAAGAATATTGATTGGGAAAAATTAGGGGGTTGCGCCACTTGAAATAAATCTCGCGCCGACACGGTTAAGCCATGATCAATTTTTAAGAAGTGGGTGGTGGTAAAGTAACGTTTTTAAAAATTACGTTTTTATTATACCTGAATCACAATCTCCGTTTTAAACACTCAAATGCGTGCGAAAAAAGGCCTTTAATACACACGTGCTTTAAAGTTGCTAAGTAATGATACTTCAACTATGACTATCCTTTGCGATGCGATATTTGAAAAAAATAAATTGTTTCGTAGATAATTCAAAAAAGTGATAATCACCATTTTTAAAAAGTTCAAATATTTTAGTAACAAAGAGAGCTATCGCAAAAAGTTTCAAATAAAAGTTGCAAGATTCGATGGGATATATTCAATGAACGTAGAAAAATTTTAAAATGGCGGTTTCTGAGATATTGACATCAACTTGCTTATTTTAAATGGACGCCATATTGGATTTTTACGTCACTCAATAGAGAAAAAAATTACAAAACCAGTGATACTAAACACTTAGTATTTTATTTGGGAATCAACCTTACATTTTTGCCTCGAAGTTTACAGTGTATTTCTTATGGCAATAATTCCATGGCCGTGTCGAGACAATAAACGAAGGAAATGGGTTTCAATCATAATCAGCCATGGAATTATTTCCATAAGAAATATATTGTAAACTTCGAGAAAATTTAAGGTTGATTCCCAAATGCAATACTAAGTGTTTAGTATCACTGGTTTTGTAATTTCTTTTTCTATCTCTGTCTCTCCCAATTATCTACGAAAGAAATTATTTTTTTTAAATACCGCATCGGAATATCCATATGCATCAAAAACTACAAAACTTGGCCAATTTAACCGAATCTGTAAGTATAAAAATAACAAAGATAGCGATGCTATCCTACTCAATTTCAGACACCCTGTATACCACCTATTTTGTTTTGTGTAATGATCTGTTCACAATTAAAACGTTTGGAAAGAGACCGTCTTAAATCAAATCCACTAAGGGCCAATTCCACCGTCAAAATTAAGCATCCCTTAAAGTTAAGTAACGATTGTCTTAATCGTTCCATAGATTTTAAGTTTGTTGTTGTTTGTTTAATTTTGTGGGTGCAATTGGAGCTAAGAAGCTTATTTATGGTTGTACCCCAAAAGAGGGTATTCAATTGTATGGTTTTAGGGGGAATGCGTCATCTGCACCAAAGTATATGGATGGACTACCTAGTGGCTTTGGTTACGGAATTGACATTTTGTATTTACTCGTGTTACGCAGTTGTCTATATACGTCCACCATCATTAATATGCGACGAAATCGAGTTCGGTACTTGGGGGTTTTAAATAAGTTGGTGCTAATACTTCCCATACGGTATTGGAGTAGAAAAAGAGGCGATTCAACTTTTTGTTGCTCGCTATACCATTGTATTTATAAACGAAAAATACAATAGCTATACTTTCCTCTATTAATACAGGCCATTTGTGCTCAAACGAGCATCTAGCGGGAAAGTTGTGGGGTAGTTTTGATTTCCTCGATTCTATATGTTTTTTGGGGTGCTCAATCCGAATCTGAGGTTTGCCCACAAAATTTCATGACGTAACATTGAAAAAATACAAAAGAATTTGGAAAAGATATTTTTGGCAGTTTTGTGCTTACAACTTGAAAACTATCAACTTTTCGAAAATAACCCTCCTATTCAAAATGAAAGTGCATAAAATTTGCTACAGATTCCTCTATTTAGATTTTTCTTCGTTGAACCGTTCGGGCTCAAGCACCAGTTGAAAATTGGCGTATTTGGGCTGTATCCGCCAATACCCATCTTTTATTATTATTTTATTATTATTCTATGCAAATATAAATCCTTACTTTTCATTGTCTACCGGCCTCCTCAAAAGATTTTATAACTGTTCCGTCTGGCATAAAACAATAATAATAATAATAAAATGACTTGCAACCAGTCATTGAAACCTTCAAAGACCCTTTTGCACACAAAGGGATATTGCCGAAGCTGCGGAAACGTATTCCTCATGGCTCTGTATGGGAAAACACATGAAACTAGCCTGAATGATTTGAGGCACAGGCAATCTATATCTTCATCGTATAAAAGTAAAACTAACATTGCCCTACTAACCCCCACCGAAGCCGCGGCTCGACAACATTCACTGAGAGTTTACTTTCAAGTGCAACAGTGGTTATACCTACGGTCAAACTTTACTAGACGAACAACAAAAAGACCTGAACGAGTGGGGGTGGAAAAAAACAAGGAGTGGTTTTGTGCCAGTGCCAATAACTTTGAATCCTGCACCGGATTCAATCCTACGACGAATTTCTTGTAAATGTAAATAAGGCTGCCAACGCAATTGCGGATGCAGAAAGACGGGCCTCTATTGCTCCGAGTCCTGTGAAGGGTTCTGTGAAAATGTCGAGCCCCCGAAATGCAGCATTGAATTTTACGAAGAAGGAACTGCACAAGGAAACCAAGAACAGACTCAAGAAAGATGCTTACAAGATCTGGATGGTATGTTGAGTCTCACAACCTATTCCGTCGTCCTTCTTTCATTCCCATTTTCCAGAAAATCAAGCCCCGACGATTATCATAGAACAATCCAGTCCAATCGTTAAACCTGACTTCAAAAAACCTCATCCAGGACCTTCTAAACGACATCGGCTCACAATCTTGGATGGTGTATTTAAAAGACCTAAACATTGATAGAGCAAACATTCTATAAAACTCAAAGTGTATAGGTACGTGATTCTTCAGAACACCGGGACAAGAGGGATAATGCCGTCGAATAGGAAATCAATATACCTCTTTTGCCATTTGAATTTTTTGAATTAGTAATGACCACAGCGCCACTTTTCCAAATTCAACAATAATTATTGAAACATGCGACGGTAGGGTCTTGTAATTTCTTTTTTTCACTACTAGCGTCTGATGACATGATTATTAACCTTTTTTCCACTTGTAAAGTAGGCTTTCTCGGCATTTGTTCAAAGTGGTTAATAATGTGGGCATTATTAACTAGTAGTCAATAATGAGAACTGTCACGCTGTCACTTTTAGAAAACACAACCCGAAATTTCGCTCAATGAACGTTTAGACAAGTTCTCTAAAATGAATAATTGCCACCATCTGCCATTTCCAGAGAAATTACATACCTAAAATTATCAGATTTTGAAAAAATTCGAACGAAATTACTCTTTGAAAATATCTCAATGACAGAACAAAATACGGCCTGTTTGACTTGTACTTCTACGCACTTGATTGACATGTTAAATTAATAAACAAAAAATTCTGTCCAACCGTTCACTTTCTTACCAATATTAATATGTTAATTTAGAGGACTTCAAGTGCTAGTAGTGAAAAAAATAGTATATATACCACGGTAGAGAAGTATATTATTGCCTTCGCACCTTACACCCCTCGGCGCAAGCGCCTAGAGATATAATCTTGGTGCTCAGGCAATAATACTGTACTTCTCTACCTTGATATATAATGTACTATATCTGGTTCGGAAGAGTGGGAATAGTTTTAGATAGCACACTATAAGTATTATACAGGGTGACAATTTGAAAACTTACCACCCCCCATATCTTAGTAAATAAACGAGATATTTAAAAAAATCAAAATCCGTTTCGGTAATTCGGAGGGGGAATCACAATGACATAGTTGGCGACGCACCCCCTCACACCCCCTGCGCCCTAGCCACCCCAACTTTTAAATCTTAAATAGGGACTCCCCATGTGTGATACGTCATTGGAAAGCTCTGAAAAAATGCTTTCCAACCATACCAAATAGCATTACATTTAGGTTAGTAATTATCGTGCAAATCAAAAAATAAACATGGAAAATCGTATTTAACTTGAACTTCCAAAGCCGACTCGACAGCAACTCATTTTTGATCGCCAGTTCTAATCTATTCTCAAACTCTTGTCGAACCTTTTCAAATGTTGGTTTTGCAATATTTTGACATTCTTGAATTATTATCTGTCTTGGTTCGTCTATGTTCGCCGGTTGCGCTTTAAATACGACAGATTTCAAATGTATCATATAGTTATAGTTTATTTTTTGATTGGCACGATAATTACTAACCTAAATGTAATGCTGTTTGGTATGGTTGGAAAGCATTTTTTCAGAGCTTTCGAACGACGTATCACACATGGGGGGTCACTACTTAAGATTTAAAAGTTGGGGTGGCTGGGGCGCAGGGGGTTGGAGGGGGTGCGTCGCCAACTATGTCATTGTGATTCCCCCTCCGAATTACCGAAACGGATTTTGATTTTTTTAAATATCTCGTTTATTTACTAAGATATGAGGGGTGGTAAGTTTTCAAATTGTCACCCTGTATATTATAAGTAATATAATAATATGATATACCGTTTTTCGTTAGAAAGTAACTTTTCATACAATTCTGGGCTACAATAAACACCTGAACGTTATGTAAATGAAAAAAAATCACCCTTACATATAAAGTTCAAATAATAGTAGGTAAATGCAAGGAATTCACTTATTGACGACCCTTAATATTAATTTAGGGTTTTAGTGCAAAAAAAACTATGTTTTGTGGAGGCAGCCGAAATACGCCAATTTTCAACTGGCGTTTGAACCCAAACAGTTCATCGAGGAAAATACTAAATATTGGAATCTGTAGGAAATTTTATGTACTTTCATTTTGAATAAGAAGGTTATTTTTGAAAAGTTCATAGTTTTCGAGTTGTAAGCACAAAACTGCCAAAAAATATATTTTTCAACTTTTTTTGTATTTTTTTCAATGTTGCGTCATGAAATTTTGTTGGCAAACCTCAGATTCGGATTCAGCACCCCAAAAAACATATAGAATCAAAGAAATCAAAACTACCCCACAACTTTCCTGGTAAAAATATAATTTAACTGGATTATATTGACATTACTGTCAAATTGATGCATTGATCTATTTATTGAACATCCCTCAGGTATTTACTGCAATCTAATGGCCAATTGCTGTTCAGGATAAATATTATGTCTGGTAATTTGCGGTGTTCCTTTTTCTAAGAGGTTGTCAAAAGAAGTTACTGGGCATTCTCGTATACTTGAAGAATTGTGCTTGGTCATTTTCATTCATAGGTAGAAAATAGGTAGGTATTGTAAAAACCAAGGATATACTACACCAGCTCAGATTTTGATACCGTCACTATTCATATTAGTTCACGTATTCTTGTGAAATGGAAGATAACCCTTGGTACTAGTTACAATCTCAAAAGTAAACATCGGTTTGAAAACATATGATGTAAGCGAGAAAATTAAATCGCGCATTTGCAAAGTAACATCTGGTTTACGGCCTTACGGAACTGCGAATTCTCCTTCCGTTACTTTTTACGGAGCTACGTTATCGCTAATTTTCTATTTCATACCTACGGCATGAATCGGCCTTTATTATACGCATCCCGACAAATTTACTAGTTATTTATGTATTAAGGGCATAACAGTGATGTTTATATATAGCTTTTTAGTCGCCCGAGAGTATAAACATCATTTTATGCCCGTGGTCCATAAAAAATAGTTTTCTTCGTCAAAGTAAATGACGGGCGATCAAAAATGTGTTGCTGTCGAGTGACCTTTGGAAGTCCAAGTTAACTACGATTTCCCATGTAAACAAAAATTCCAAAGGTAACCCGACAGCAACTCATTTTTTGATCGCATAGTATTCGTTTACAAAACAGTTCATTATGTTTGATCAAGTATGCGGGTTTCGAATTTGTTTATGTGATTGACCCAAACGTCAAACGTAATTTTAAGTAATTCAATTCATCACGAATGACGAAGGAGTTCCAGAAACTATTCAAAATAAGGTCAACCTTGTGAGTTAGTAGGAATTGACATTTAATTGACGTTTCTAATTTTCAATGACCTGCAAATACTTGTTTGTTTTGTCATTAGGGATAAATAAGTTACTATGGTGATACTTAATGCTTTAGGGCATAGCGTATCACAGATACAAAATGTGCTATGATATGTTAGTATGACATAAAATTTAATCTACTTCTTATTTATCAAAACCACGAGCGTGGAAAGCGAATTTGATAACAGAACGTATAAATACCCATACATATGCATTTTCCCCAAAATCACTTCTATTTCGGCTGCCACGATGAAGCTCTTCTTTGTGACCCTTATGATCCTCCAGATCTTCTTGCAACAGGTAAATATGCAATAGTGCCGATGCGTTAATATCGTGACAATTTTTTAGGGAAGGTCAGCTACGATCGACCATAGTCCAATAAATGATAATAAGGAACATGCGACGGCTGTTATTACAAAATGCATGGAGACAACGGCAGTTAACGTCGACGATCTCAAAACGGCAGTTGACAATGACGATTTGGGAAATAAGGCCGTTGCAAAATTCTCAACGTGTTACGAAGAGGCGATGGGTCCATCGGAAGAAAGTTTGGGTAAATATTGCCAACAAACTGTCGGCGAAGGCCAATTGATGCCACTGCTAAAATGCTACCATGATATTATCCTTAACTATCTCAAAGAGTTCTTGGCTTAAGGTGTACTAGTTTTTTAAATAAATAATTACATCACTGCATTTTTGTGTTTTAATTTACTTGGCATTCTATCCATTTTACTCACAAAGCGACTCGAAAAAATCCGAAAAAAAAAAGGTTTCAAAGAGTCTCACGACGCTCGCATTTGTATGTTAAAATCAAGTTTTCTGGGCCCTCAACATGCGCCTACTTTTTAGAGGTGCCTCCCTCGTTTCGGCATCAAGGAAGTAGAAACTTGATCTAAAATTTAAAGTCGTACCTTTACAACCTTATTCCACCTTCAACTTTTGTGCGCTAAAATTAGCTAATCTGCGCAGACTCCAAATTACTCACTTGAAATTTCAAAAACTGTTAATTTTGACCCATTTTGCCCACCCAAAACAATTGAGAACAATTAACAGAAGCTAAAAACTGGACCAGACTTAGTAGTCGTAGGTGATGTGACGCATAACTCAAAAGCAATCCACATGAAAGTTTGAGTTATGGAACCACTGACACCTTTGTAAAGCTCAATACAAAATAAACAACACACCCTATATATGGGGGGGGGGGGTGGAATCTTACCCAACATATGCCATAAAATTGCGGAGTTAAAGAGAAGGAACAGGGTAAGGTGGCCGAGACCGAATCTAACCTGGAAGAATGAAGGATATACAGTCAGGGAAACAAGTAATCCATGATTCAAGATTAATGGGAAACTGGGAAGAAACGTTGAGACATGTCAACAGTTTGGGAATCACGGCAACTATATCTGAAACATATTGACATTTTCTGATTTGAGTGCAAACTTCGACAATTATCAATTATTTTTGCCACTTCGTTACTACCTGAATAACGTTACAGTTGATTAGAGGTTAAGTGCTTACCTACTTCCTACGACCTTAAGACAGTATTGTTTGATGTTCAGATAGCAACAGCCTTATCAATTATAATTAATTACACTTCCCGTGTAGGTTGTTAAAATTAAAGCATCGAAATACAATAGAAGTGCAAGGTAAATTAAACAAAAAATTAATCCGGTTCCAGTTTTGTGATATTCGGATCTTAACCTTTCCTGACACAGCCGTTATCGAGGCAATTAGTATGGAAATGAGGAAAATGCCCAAACTGCGTAGAAAATTTGATGATAAAACGTTAACATTTTGGCCCGAAAAATAATTATGTGATTTCCTGACACTCAAAACTTTGAGGCGTGTTAGAATGGCCAAAAAGGTCACTGAAGTACTCCATAAAAACTTTGCTCGTTTACTGCACACGATAGAAAATTGAAAAGAATTTCTATGACAAGCTAATCTTCTCAGTATTGCGATCTTTGTATGGTACAATGTTTATAGTATACCGGCCAAATTTCTACAACTAATACTGTGTTTTAACTCGATCTACTAGGCATACTATGAGCCAAGTAAGATTCTTGCAAATTGTTTACTGGTTTCTCTAGGGAAGTTTGGGTAAAGCTGATTTGAAAAAGGCCGAGTTCAGGAGAGAAGACCAGAAGATAAAACATCGTACCAGAGAGAATTATTGTACCCGAATGTGGGAAATGTTTGAACTTGTTCACGTTTGGTATAGTGTCCAGGAAGTAATAAATAAAAAAAACCGAAATGGATATTTAACTTGTAAAGAAAGCGTCAATCGGTGCCGAGTGCTACCATTTATTTAACCTACCCCCAATTAATAAGAAGGTTATTTAGAAAATAATGATAATATGAAGTAAACTGGTTCAAACATTCCAGATAAAGTGAATAGAAATCATAAAAAGAAAAGTTATGCAAATGGCAGCTACTTACGTATTCAACAATCTCCAAAATGAGAGAAATTCTTTCAGTCTCGACCCAAACCACTTCGAGAAACACACAACATCCGGCTAATCGCCAGAATGTATTCAAACCGACATTATCTGTATTAATACCACTACACTTAACGTCCCGACCACCAAAAGTGTTTTCAAAGAAAAGGCAATGAAAGATAATGTAATATGCGCATTCTAAAGATGCACCAATAACAATTCTCCACGCACTAAATAGGAGATAATTGAAAGTCAGCGGGCAACACATAAATGCGTTTTTTGCATCTGGTTGGTAGATGCAATAAAAGCCTTCTATCATAAGATATGTTTGTTTCCATCAGATTTAACATGAATGTCCGACCATTAAAGTCAAATCAATTTAAAATTTCCTATGATTTCCCAGAGTTAATTTTCGAGATAATTCCTGAGAAATACCAAGATCTAAATCTCTAATAGATCATTGAGATCCTCTTGAGTTGGAAAATAAGCCAGTTCTTCTCCTGTGTGAAAGATACATTCAAAGTAAGATGAATAATCCTTCTGCGACTTGAAAGAAATTTAGCTAAATCAATAGGAGTAATAGAATCATGGCACAATAAACTTCTGGACCCTTTTTTTGTCATATTGCTCTTCTAGTATGAAAACAGTCACGTCAATCATGGCAGGTAGCCGCCCACTGGAAAACCGGTGTACAAAAATTATGCTATTATATTTTCATTTCTATCTAGCCCATGCGAGCGAAGAAAAAGACATAAGTTTTGCAGTGGGCGGCTACCTGCGACTGTTTTTATACTAGACGTCGTATAGTAGGCAGACCACTTGAATACTTTAATAAAATGTATTATACAGATTATCGTATTTCTGACTAGAGGACATTGGTCCTTCTAAGGGGCAAAATGTGAACACACTTTTACCTGAACACAAACTGAACTGATAAGGAAGACGGTTTTGAATTAGGGCAAAACTTGGATTTAAGCACAAATAGGTACAGCACCAGTTGCAAAACAAGATTTGGCTGGAAAATTGCAAGCGTAATAATTGATGAGTTGCGCCACAAAATTAAGTAATTCATCCCAAACATAATGCATTTTAGAAGGCGTTCTGTAAAGGATTTTAGATTCGATATTTGTAAAGGCTGCCAGACAAAATTAAAACAAATCGCGAGGAAGCTCCAATCCTTAATGTTAATGCCGAACCAGACAGACAAATAATCAGTTAAAGCACCACCTTACTGAAATACCGAAGTTCATTAATGTAACCACGCAACTAAGCCTTTAAGGGGGTTGTAGTCGCGTCGCGCCGCACGCCTACGTGACGCCATTAAAATTATAAATAGGAACGTGACTTTTTTTCGAAAAATTATTTAAATAAAACTCCCATATTTAAATTTTACGACCGGTATTAATATTGATGTTATTAATAAAATGTACGTGAATGGACGTACTAAGAATAAGGGAGGATTTATCGAACGATACTTATCTGAACTATTCTTGAAGGTAAACGGTAGCAGACAATAAACGGGATTGTTTTATAAAACGACAACGTAAATCAAGACGATCACGCAATGCTTTGTTATTGTTGGGTACTTTAACGGGATTATTTCCTTTAACGTGTCAACAGACGTTAGTTCGAAGTTGAAATTTTCTACCTTTATTTCCACACAAACATCGATCACTTCGGTTGTTTTATTATTTTGTTTTAAAAATAAAATTCGATCTAAAAACTCGGCCCTTTAGGGTATAACCTATTTAATGGCATCAAGCTCTAAGAATCCGAAGTAACATGTTCTTTCATTTTTTTATTGGACATAACAGCAATAATGTAATGGTTTTTGCAAACTCACTTGATCATTACATTTTCCCCTCCTTTCGTCCCGAAACATATTGGACCTAGGATCATGAAGGAAACGACACCTTGTAGCTTTATAACAATATCCGTTCTTGGGGAAGAAACAGTGCAACGATTTATTTTCTTCATTACGAAGTAATTTATTACTTGTTGAAAGACCCTCGTAACATTTTGAAGCGATCTTGATCTATTGATGGAATTTGACCACACAATTTTGCCGCGCAGATTGTCAACGCTTGATTTGTGGGAGTCGAGTCCCATCTTCCTCTTTCTTTCGTAACACGCATCGAGGTACACGTCAATTAAACAGCTGAAAGCATAAGGTAAAACGCATAGGATTGTAATGGCCATCTTCTGAAATGGCGATTGGACGCATAATTTGGGAAAGGCATCACAGAAGTGAGGTTACTTTTGATTTCTTTTAGGGTTTAAGTTCAAGTTTTAAGTTTAAGTTCAAGTTCAAGCCCGGATAGTTTTTCTTTATATCCTTGGGTTAAATTCATCGTTGTCTGTGAGTGCCGATGCCCTTGGCTTATTTCCACAACTTAACAGACGATCAAAAACAAGGTCGTGTCAAATAGTGCATTATTATATAAATAAATAATAGCAATTAACGCACTCAATAACTAAATAAAGCACGCTGTAATATAAGAAGAATTGGTCGAGAACATCTTGAATTGATCTAGAGTTAAGTGCAATACCAATGAAAGAATTATAATTATAGAACTTTACCCAAAATCGTCATGAAACCTTCATTTTCGTGCATACTTTATGTCAGGCAATGTTAGTTTCCATGACGACGACTTTTCCTGCCACCTGTCACTTTCCCGACCGCAACTGTCACATTGGTGATGGCTATAATGAGTCCTGTCATCACTGACAGATTGAGATTAATCGAAAGTTGTTTATAAAAATTGAAATTTTATATTAAAATACGATTTTTGGTAAAATTTAATACAAAACTCGTCCTGACTCGGAAATTAAAGTACTCGGACCCAAAGGGGACTCGTACTTCAATATTTCCTCGCCACTAAAGTGACATTTTCCTGACTTTTATGTAAATAGCTATTCTGGCATCTAAGCTCATTATATGCATCGTTAAAGAGATTCAGTTATTAAATACTTGAATCTAAAGGAAGGAAAGTTTAGGTTCGATAAAAGATACAAGCGGAAAAAATTACTCGAACTCATGTAAATCGTAAACAGAACCGAAACGCGCGATAAAAGCCAAAGATTAAATTCGGAAAACGAACCTTTATAGAAATAAAACGCGATGTAATCTAGATTTACAGCTTTCCTCGAAAACGGATAAAGTGACCTCAATTCTCCAGCCGTCGAAAATTTCCGCCCATCAATTTGCAAATTTAGCTAATGACACCCTCTAACTTTCACAAGTTTGGCCAAAAA